ATATTTATGTTTGTGGTTGTAATGTGACAAAATATGGAAAAGTTCAAGGGGTATGAATACTTTTGCAAACCACTGTATATATATTCATTGAACTTGTTAGCATTACAGTATGTGCACATCCAAAAGAGGCTTCTAGTAATTTTTTAATTCCATCTTCAGTGTTGGACAAAATTTTCTTAAACTGGCTTAAGCTGTCTTAAAGTGTGACAGGGTCCTTATGAAGTAATAAAAAAACAACAAACAATAACTGAACATAGTGCACATGTGTAAAAACAAAATATGCAATATTAATTATAAATAGGCATTGAAATCATTGGTTTTCTGGTAATTACTAGTCAATCAGCTTGACAGCTTGAACTCGGTTGTTTTCATGTGATCTGATTATGTTGTGTCCTTTTATGGCGTTTTTTTTATTTTTATTTTTTGGATTAAGGCCAGCACTTTAAAAAGTTCATTCCAAAACAATTGTTTTATGTTTTGACCCATTGATATCAGTTTTTCAGTGTTTCAGACAAAGAGTTTCTTCACAAACTGAAGCATTTAATTTAGGAAAAACTAACCAAAAGATTTTTTAGGTTTTATTTTGTCCACAACATTGTGGTTTATTTTCCACCATTTCCTTGTTAGGGAACATTTGACTTGGTATATTTAGCCCCAACAATCACACTCACACATTTATTGTTTTTGTTTTTTTTTATGTTCTAGTTTTGGACCAGAGAGTGTATCTCTTTTCAAAATCAGACAGCCTCTAGTTGCTTATATGTTCAACCTCAGCTCCACTGATCCTACATATTACATTTCTGGCTCCTTTAAAGTGCCTGTGACATGCCTATACTTCAAATACAAAAAGTCAAAGAAAACATCTTTATACTTAAGAAAATTAACATAGTACAGACTATTTTACCCATTTGTCACATAACTGGCCTACTTTCTTTTGAATTTGGCTCAGCCAAAGTGAAACAGGAAGTGACATCAAAGGGGCACTCATTAATAAAATACACTCTCTGGTTTTTGTTTATTAAAACAAAATTATTTAAACTTTAATTCTTCTTCATCTCTCTTTGATAGCGGCTAAAAATAATCTAAAGAAACATCAGAATCTTCTCTACAGTCTGTGTTGTAACAATGCTCTGTTTACATGCTGACATTCTCCTTTGACATCACTTCCTGTTCCTTCACATGCAAATATCTCACCAACCGTTCATCTCAGCGGCATGAAATTTGTTTCACAATATGTTATCATTGTTATCTTTCCAAAAATGTATTCATGTTTATTGCAAAAAATTTGATGTCATAGGCACTTTAAAGGGTAACAACAGTCACTCGCTTCGAGTGTTGTCAGTCCATTAAATGGACATTATTAGTGGTTATCAGTCCCATACATAGTGTCCAGACTGTCCCTCCTCTACCTCCTTGTAGGTTGGAAGGCACTTATTGTATTATGCCTGATTATGGGCTATTAGGCACAGTGGGTTTAGCTCCTCCCCGAGAAATGGAGTTCCTTTGTCTGTAAAATATAGCAAGTGTTAGCAATGCCTAGTGCAAACACTGGCTGCCACTTGGTTCTTCATGCCACAGATCGAGTGCTTTTCCTGGTCAAAACACAGCGTGTTGGGCTGACCGCTTGATCGGAGCTCTGCTTCCTGGGAAGAAGCTAAACCCACTGCACCTAAATGCGTATTAATAATGATTGATATGTGCCTTCCAACTTTCAAGGAAGTAGATGGACAGTCTGCGGACAAAGTATGGGACTAATAAACGCTAATAACAGCTATCTAATAGATTGACAACATTCAAAGCAGGTGATACAGTCAAAACTGAGTGAATATAAATCATCAACCAATAATGATAAACATACACTTTCATTAATGTGCTGTTCTGCTTAAATTCTAGTAAATCTTTGTCCTTCAATTATAAATTTAGATTGTCATTTAAATTTTTCATAATCTAGAAAACTTTAACAACACATCCTATAAAAAACTATATAACTTCCCTAAACTATCCAAATGTATACAAAGCACTTTTAAACATAGATCTCACAAAGTGCTTTATACTACTGAATATGTCTCGTTTATACAGCCAGACGTCTCAAAATGTTTTTGATTTTACCCATTAGGACTCTTTTCATATTCACTGAAAATGCAAATAATTTTTAACAAACTTCCAAGCATCACTATAAACGGTTGATAGAAAACCTTTTAAATGTTACATCCCATTTATAGCTTTAAATTAAGAGCTAAGCCCTTTTCAGATTTTTATAGAACTGTAGAGGTTAGTAGCTACTGCAGATTTTTTTCACAATCTGCAAAGCTCAAAGCCAGTTTAAAAAATTTACAAAAGCAGTTTTATTATTTTTATCAATGTGTTTTGTAGTTAAGATTGACACCCAATGCCAAGACTGATACAGCTATTAGGATACGGTTCCAACTGTGGTTAATTATTTTTAAAGTCACTTAGTGAAATAAAAACTTTCAGTTTACATAACATTCAAACATTCATACATTTTTAAATATATTTTCGAACCTGAAAAACTCTGAATTATCCTCCAGTTAAAATTTGAAAGTTTGCCACAGCCAGGTCAAATTGGTCCTTATATTTGAGTTACCATGCCAAGATTTCATTTTATAAAAATATATACAGTGTATATG